GGGTGCTGCGGCAGCGTGGCCGAAGTTGAGGCGGGGCACTTAGGGGGCACGGCCAGGGTAGAGGTGAAGCGCTGAGGCGGCACAGCCGAGGAGGGGGTAGGCCTTGAGACTAGCTGGTCAGATTGAAGCAAGGCCTGGTCCCAAGTAACTTGCAGAGATGATTCTCCCTATTCTTCCTGGCCTGTTTGGTAAAGGTCAGGCAATGCCCGCACTTATTGGTCCTATGCCCCTCGCCGAGGCAGAGGAGGCATTAGTCGTGCGGGTCCACGGGAGACATTTTGGAGCTGCACTGACTACACTTGTGGAATGCCTCCCACTGTGCCATCACAAAAAGGAAAAAAAGAGATGATAGTACAGAGGGTAAGTAATATTTTTGATTTTTTTTTTTTTAAGAAAAAGAACGAACAGAGAAACTATAACAAGGGAAAGAGAAACTGGGATATATAACGAGGAAAAGGTAAGTTGAACAAGATAAGCGTAAAGGAACACGTGGGGAGATCTAAGCGAGAGACGAGCAGGCACGAGGCACAGCGAACGGCGGTCGCAGAGACTGAGTAAAATGGCGGACGCTCTGCTCTATTTATACTGCAGGGGGGAGGGGAGCAGAGTGTTTTTCCTGCCAAAAACCGTTAGCTTTCTAATCGTCCGGCCTAGGCACTGCGCAGGCACAGCACCCATATGTGTGATGCACAGAGGCCACAACGAAGAAATACTCATATTGGTTGAGCTGAATATTCTTCAGGTGAAAGTAATGCTTGGCTTGGATATGTGAAGCAATATAGAGCAAAACACTTAAAGCCTGTTTTTTTTTTTTTTTAAACAAACCAGATTTCTATTCTGGAGCGAAAAATGTGTTTTTCACATAGCCCATTAAGTGAGTCTGTCCCATCTCTAACACCACTGAATGTCCACATGGGGTGCAACATTTGAACAGGATTACGCATATGGCAATTGTCTGAAAAGTAAGATAAGAATATCACTGCTCTAAAGAGCAGATCAGATGACTGATTTGTAACTCCTTTCTTATTTAATAAATAGTGCATTGTTCTATTTTGTGATGCAGGCTCTTAACAGTTTTCTACTGATGCATAAAAAACCAAACTCAAATAAACTTGTTCTGTACATGTAAGGCTTGTGTTCTATGAACTGCAGCTTCCTTCCTATAGTGAATGGATATTAAATTTAAAAAAATCCAAACTAGTTTTTATTAACAGTTCTTCTTTGAAGAAGAATGTTGGCAAAGGAGAAGAAAAACCCCAGCCTTTTATACATTTTCCTCACAGAAAACACCCTAAGTCATTTCATGTAAGGACAGTGACTTTGAAAAGCACAGCTACCATTCTGGCTGGGTTTACACAATGACTCCCTGTGTGTGCCAGTTGCGTGTTGTATGATTTGCCTAATTATTCTTGCAGTGTGCTGGTTGCTATTTATCTGGACCTGGTGAAGCAACCCCTGGGCTGAGGGTAGTAAGACAAGGTGGGAAGGCAGGTCCCTGCCAGACACATTTTCCCTCTTGTCTATTTTTTTTGGTCTGATTCATTGTATAACATCCAGTTTTTGAATGTCTTGTAGTAGCTCTTGGTAACTCTCTTAAATAGATCTGAAGTAAAGCCAAATGAAAGGATTAAAATCCCTGTTTCGTTTTGCTTGCAAGATATGTATTTGCAATATTCAACTTTCCTTTTAGAAATCTGGCTCATCAGCAAGGAGGTGGGAAAAAATTAGTCTGAATTCTCAGTACTGCTGCAGCATTACTGCTGCACTCAACTCCATGGCACCAACTTCTGATTTCATTCCCTAAAAAAAGACTACAGAACCACACTGAATTCACTGGAAAGTTGTCTACGCTGATCTTTTTCTTGGTGTAAGGAGGGAGCTCCCAGCAATGTCAGGTGTTAACACTGGATTGCATTTTAGGGCTGACCTAAGCCATGATCTTTCAGCCCCCTCCTCTACGGTGTAATGCAGAGAGAATATTGATGGGATTTAATTTCATTTATACAGGCAGGGACAGGGCTTTAAAAAATATTAACAACAAAACAGGAACACCACCACCAACAGCAATCACATTTTCTTTTCAGGAAACAAGACGTAAAGGCTCTTGGTGCTCTAATTTTCAGGGTCAATATTCTATTGTCCAATCTCAGGTATACTAAACTATGGATTACTTTCAATGGACAGTTATCACTTCTGCTTCAGAAATGACCCACCCACCCACATTTCAAAAGGGACTAGGAAGTTCCCTTTTCCTTAAGACCATAGGCATATCACTCAGTTTTTTGCCTCTACAGATCTCATGTCAATCAGAATTGTATACAAAACAGACTCTAAGAAAAGTTGTTTCTCACAAAATGATGAAAGACTATTGCCAGCTTTTTGTTGCTGCAGCTAAATGAAAGCCAGGAAGAAAGCCAGCTTCTTCCACATGTACCTCTCTGATTGTCAAGATTTGGTTCAGAGGCCCCTCTTGAAGTGCAACCCCCAAAGAAGGTGAAGGGGAAGGCGAAGAGAAGAATGCCTGCCTTGGTGGTTGGACTTATCTCTGGAATTAGCTCGCCAGAGAAATCTGCCTGGAACCTTCTTTACAGTTATTTTTGCTCCAGCTGAAAGGAATTTCCCGGGTATTTTAATAACTAACTAAATAGTATTGAATTCATTTTAATTTTAGTTGACTTATTAAATAATTTTGAATGATTTATCCACTTTCCCAACCTGAGGATAAATTTTGCTAAAATACTATGAGGCAGGCTTAGTAGTTTGTGTTTTTAATAGATTAAAACTATTTTAATCATTCTTTATTGTATAAGTTATATGATACTGTTGTTGGATGTACACTGCCCAGAGAGTCCCATTTGGGACTAGTGGGTGCAGTTTTATAAATCATATCAAATAAATATATCAATACTGTGCCAAGCAGGTACAAGCGATATGATTAGATTCCCTGAAAAGTGGAAATCACACAGGAAAGGAAAATAAAAGCCCTATGAAAAATAAACCTCTGTGCCACTGGTTCTCAGCCTCATTGAGTAAGCTTCCAAAAGAGAAACTGCCATTATTTCTCTTGGCCTGAACAGGAGACACACCAGAAGAAGGGATTAGGGAGAAGCTCATGTCTTTGCTTGCAGCCCTTTCACCTCTTTGGGAAACCGTGGCATTAAGTATTTGCTTTGTTTTCAGCCAGAGAAGGGAAAAAGCAGCTAAATTCCTCACCCCAGGGGAAATGCTTAAACTGTACAGGAGTCTACAAAGAAGTCTCCCACTGCTCTAATCAAGCACACAAATCCAGTTTGGCTTCTCAAGGCCCAATCCCACGCGCTTCTGGCCAGAGGCATGGCTGGCTGGGGAATGATGGGATTTATAAGTCTTTCTTTGGGCTAAATATGCCTAGGATCACACCCTTAATTACACACAACCACTTTACAGGTTTTCCATGGCCAATGTCTGCTTTTAATATGCATAGATGGGGTGAAAAGCAGCATTTAAATGTTTCTCTCACAACAAAATGGACTGTACTGATTCTCATTCAGAATCTTTTCCTGCATGTTTTACTGTGAACTTGTTAAGGGGCGGAGGGTAATTTTTACAATAAGAAAAATATTCAGACCTGAATTTATGAGTCAGGTTGGCTATGTATATTGTTAGAGAATACAATTGGCATAAAATTCATAGATGAAAGAGATGACATACAAAAATGGCAAATGTCAGCAAATTCTATTAGCAGCCCCCCATGTACCTCTTCCTCATTAATTCTCTATACATAAGGATGTCTCCTGTCAAGAGGCCTAGTCTTTTAATACTATATCAAGTTGGATCATCTGACATCTCAGAGCATCTTACCCATACAAATCTTTTACAATTGTTTCTGGTATCATAGTAAAACAGACACAACAGATAAACAAGTGCCTTGCATATCTCTTGAAAACGGCATTATTTCTTTCAGAAAACATAAATGACCGATAGTAGTAAATACTACTTTCCTCAAAAAAATGGAGATTCATTTTAAAAATCCAGATATCCTAGGTACTTGATATACTGTCACAGAATAATTACGAATCTATAATTATGATTCACATTTTTAGATGTCAGAGAAACTGAAGGCTCCCCACCCCACAAAGAAATGGACAGAATCTAATGGGGTGCTTATGTTTCCAATCAGCCTTTTATGCCCCACCAATTCTGTCCTGAAAATGGCCTCCACTCTTGTGCAGTTGCAATTTAGCACCACTGGGATAACCAGAAATAATGGTCTCTGGAAAGACTCAGGTCATTTGGGACTTACATATTTATTTATAAAATTTGTGCGCCGTCCAATTACTTGCATCTCTGGAGGGCTTACAACATAAATAAACTGACCATCCACACTGGCTGCAAATTAATAAAATACAACAATAAAATTTAATATTAAAACATATTAAAATATTGATTAAAAAGGTCTTGACCTGGCACCGAAAAACATATAATGATGGCGCAAGGCGGACCTCTCCCAGGAGTGCATTCCATAGTCGGGGTGCCACCGCAGAGAAGGCCCTTCTCTGGATACTCTGTCTCCTAACGTCTTTCACAGAGGGTTCCCGGAGGAGGGCTTCTTTTGCCGATCTCAGGGGGCGGGAGGGCAAACTAACCTAAGCTCTACCAACCCGCTTCTTTTCAGAAGCACATTTTTTATGCTTGTTTTGGGGCTTCCCTTAGGAAGTGCTAAATCTCCTTTGCATACATGGTCGGTCTTACTTGGGTGATGGAATTGGTAGAACCATTGCCTGTGCAAGAGACAATCCAATATCGTTCTATCCTACCACTCAAACATATTGAGAGGCCTTACAAGAAATATATTTAATTAAAAATAAGTCTTAATGCAACTAAACAAGCAGATGCTTTTCCCACATCTGAAAGAGAACAATACTTTGATTTATACTATTCTGTAACCTAAAAGGACCATGTGGGGGAGAGATCTGCTCTTAACAGTGAAATATATTGGTCATTTTACTTTCTCCTCTTACCTTAGGTGGTTTAAAGGGATAGTCTGGTGAGAAGGTAATATCAAGGAAAAAGACTCCTCCCTCATACACAGAACCTGGAGGCCCAAGTATAGTTGATCTCCATTCATAAATGTTGTCTCCCTTGGGTCCAGCACTATAATACAAAGCACAGCAAACAGTTACACTTCTGATAATGATGGTTTACAAAATACAGTAAAAGTGAAAATGAATCACATTCTTGAGCCCATTTCCAATTTACCATGTATCTGAGGTAATTTTTTTTGTTCCTTAACTCAAAACTAGTTTTTGAAGACACAGTTGTTACGTTTTGGATTAATTTACCTTGACATTCACCTTATCACTAGGTAGCATTGCAATTACATTATTTTTGTTGGCTATGCCACCATTTTTCATGCACCATGACAAATAACATTCTTTCTGGACATCAAAGTCATTCCAGCAACAGAAGGCTGCTTTATTCCACAATTATGACAAAAAAAAATTGAAAAGCCAGGCCTAAGATAAAGGAAAATTTCTTACACACTATACCAATTAAATCATGAAAGATGTTTGTATTGTATGCAGTGAATAAGCAAAAGTAGATAATTTAACCTGTAAGCCACACACAACCTGTTTGGTGGCTCTTTAAGAGTCCCAATGATTTCTACTTTTATCTGGCATGCATGTTTACCAAGACTGATCTGGATGGATTGAAAATAAAGAAAAAACAAGCAAGTAAGTTTAGAAAAGACCCTAATTATTTTTCTCCTTTTCATGTGATCATTTAAATGTCCAAATATCCCCTCCCCAACATATTTTACATGTTAGTACAGTAATTTAAGAAACAACATAATTTTCCAAAATATGCAAATATGACCCTACATAATGTTAAAATAGTGAAGCCATAGTGCCCATTAATCATAGTATATTTAAAAACTGTTATTTTTTACTTTATACAGTAATCATAACACCTTACATAAAATGCCTCTAAAAAGAAAAAAAATCCAACATGTATGAGGTTGTAGATTGCCTACGGAGAAGTTATTTCATGATACATTTCTGATGTTGCCTTCACTGCTAAGACGGTCAGCACTGTGGACAGTTATAGCTGTAGCTATATATACAGTAGCTAGGCTATTCTTATAAAATCCCATCTGACCTTTCTAAGGATAACTTTCTTATGCTAAACTAATATTTAGATAAGCCAGTCATTGTGAAATCTATTGCTAGAGGTTTGTTTACAGTTGTAGTCTTTTCAGGCTAAGGACCCACCCTTACTTCCAAACTGCAACATAGAATCCATTTCTAATTTTCTACTTTACCTTCCATTTTTGTCTTCTTTTCAAGATGATCAGAAGCTTAAGACCTTATTTATATTCAGTTTATATAATTAGTGACAAGATCTTGTGCTACAATAAATGCCACACTAACATTTATTTTTGATTGACTTTGTTAATTACCTTCATTCAGGAATGATATGAATAAAATATTGTTAATGATTGCTAAATCCCTGTTAAGCTTTGTCCCAGAATAACACAAGGAAAACCTTCTTGCATTTGAGGGATTTACAACATGTCTCTAGTTTACAGTCCACTAAGATAAATTAACAATACCAGATATCATTGTCCGTTCGTAGCTGTTGTTTTTGTGATGAGCTGTACTATATTTTGGCAGACAAATATAACATTGGGTTTGTAAAGAAACAACGTGACACAATATACTTTCAGGGCATTTCCCATAAAATATTCTTTCCTACAATTGCAATAATACAATTGCAATAATGTACTTAAGCAGGGTGTGAAAAATAACTATATCTAGAACAGATTAAGGCTTTTGGCTATGCTTATGCCTTGTAATATACCCAAGGCATGCAATTATCACACTACATCATGTTGTGTTCAATGCTTAACTATTCATTTTGTTCAGTGAAAGTTAATAAAACCCTCTTTTACCTACAATTCCTTAGGCTCTGTTCAATAAAATCAAAGAGTGCATGATTCCTTGCATATAACTGAATTATGAGTACTGTTTAAGGCAGTGGATCAGTTCATTAGTCATGGTATCTGCATTAATTTTCTGTAATAGTTGATAATGTTTCAAAGATTTCAAACTGACATACTTCCTTTATAATGCAGGAGATACTAAGTATACTATATCATAACATTTTAAAGAGAGGTTTAGAAAACATGGTATGCATTTTAAAGAAAATGCTAGTTTTTTTAGACAATTGAAGCAGAAACAGCATTGTCTGAATGCTGAAGCAGAAACAGCATTGTCTGATACAATGTCTGTATCAGGTCATTGGCTGCAAAATGAATTTAATTTATCCTGTTCTCAGTTTGTATTAACCTTTGAATAAAAAAAGCACAGCTGAGAGTCCTATAGGAAGACACAAGCCAATTAATTAATAATTTAAAACACCTCTACTGTCAATGGAAATCCCATACCTTGGAATACTGAACAGCAGCATATAATTACAAAGATATAATAAATAAATACATAAAAACAATAAAATCCTAACTTGTCTGGAAAGGCTTGTTACTGAACTAAGCTAAATGTGGCTAACTGCACTCTTTATTTGCCTAAAGAAATTATGCCCCCATCCTTTTTTTAGGTTAACAAAACATACAATTAACTACCTTCATGTACTTTCAAAGGTGCATAAAGTGCACCTCTGAACATAAGATAAGGAATTTACATATAAAATAGGAAGTGAATGAAGTGCAAATTATCTCAACATCAACTGGTTTAAGTAATATGTTTTTATTAATTTGTGAACATATAATCATTGGAAAACAATGTATTTAATAATGTCTATACTGTCCAATAGTAAAAGTCTGCAACAAACCTATCTACTCATCTGATGCAGAACTCAAAATAAAATAACAGAAATACTCCCTACTCACTGCAAAATAATCTGCTGCCAGATGACTTTTTTCCACTTTGTCCTGGGGGCAGGAGAAACACCCCTATCCAATTTTCCTTGTATGAAGAAAGCAGTTACATTTCTATGTTCTTGTTTTTTAGAAAAGTTTGGTGAGCTCTATATGTCTGCAGATACTAAAGCTGAAGTCCAAAGCAGCCAATCCAAAGAAGCTATGTACCAAAGTTTCGAATAAATTTAATATATTTTAAATGTAACTGCTGATCTTCTTGCCTCTGAACTTTTCAGCTTAGTGTTAAATGCACATTAGATGCTTTTACCATTTTGCCATTTCTATCTACTTTTCCCAGCCTATCTACTCAGAAGGGGTCCTCTTGGTTGGCAATCACCAAGAGGGGTAAAGGCATGGTCTAAATAGTCAGAATATAGTCTAAATCTGCATGTTTTATCTTTGACCTTAATACTTGGACCACATGCTCCTTGTGGCCCTAATCTGCTCACTCCAGATTTGTCTTGGCAAGGCTGAGGATGGAACAAGCAGGTCAGAGAGGTTACAGGCAGGAGCACACAGAAAGAACGATTCCAGAGAAGTTCTAAAGAAATCAGTAAGGTCAGGTGATGTCTCCATGAGTGAAGGGGTGGTTCCACTAGCTTAAAGGAAGTACCACTATTGGAGAAACCTGTTCTAGTTCTAATAGTTTCTAATAATTACTGCTGATTATTCAGTTGCATTCCAATCTGGATTCAGTGATTTTTTTGGGATGGAAAGAACCCTGGATAAACTAACAAAGGACTTACATTGTGGGAGGGAGAACTGCTTTATACTTTCCAATACCTACATGAAACTGAAGGGGAAAGCCTTTTGTAGGTTTGGGTCAGTGCCATCATAATGTGGAGCATACCCAGCTTTCCTTCTTGTTTCCAACTAATGATTCTAGGAAAGCTTTTAAGCTCTTGAACCAGTGACTGAAAGTGTTTTTGATGGAAAGAATGTAAACAAGCTAAGGAAAGGATCACTCTTTCCAAAGGACCAAGTGCATGCTCTGATAGCGCTACTGGGCTCAGCACTAACTGGCAAAGGAAGAAGTGGCAGTGGCCAGGAATAATTTTTACTAGCTTAGTACAGTACCCCAGTTGTGACCTTATCTGGAAACCTTATCTGGTTTTGGCTCATTTATTCATATTCTGGTGATATCCTGATTGAACTATTGTAAAATGTGCACCATGAGGCAGGTTTAAAACTTCATTGCAAGTGAGAATAGCTGTCCAGATATTGGTGGGGATTGGGCAGTCAGTTCATGCGAGACAAATCCTATGTCAACAGTATGGGTTGCCAATGAGTTTCTGAGCCCAATTCAAATTACTGGTTTACTCTATGAAGTACAGATTTAGCTCATGTTTCTATCTCTAGATTGGCTGAGGCTTCATCTCTTAAGAGGGCCTACCAGGTTTCCTCCTAGGCACTTCCCCAGTTTCCAGGAAAGGAAAATCTGTTGTCTCCAAACTGCTGATCAAAGGCAGAGATTATCCCTGCCTGGGCAGTGCAGAGGGGCCTGTGTGTACATGAATGGGTCTAAGTAATCATGTTGGAGGACTATGTACTCACGGGTGATTCTGCACAATTTAGTCATACCCACTGCTGGCATGATGCCCTCACTTGTTTGCCCAGAGCTAATTTGACTGATGTAAAAGGAATAGTGCCTTTTTGGTCACACTCCTGTATCTCTGAAAGGAGCTTCCATCATGTGATCATGGAGTCCTTTCTTACAATAATATCATTGGTTCTTCAATACTATCATTGTAAGCTTTATGATGCCTTTGTATAACTGAATCTGCTTCCTGCACAGGAAGCAGACTCTGGACTCTGGAGCATCCTATATGCTCGGGATCCTTTGAGGATGAGAGGCGGGTTCTTGGTCACATTACCTTTTATTGCTTGTTTTTGGTTAATTTCTGGGCTGTTAGTTTCATGTATAAGTACTATGTAATTGAATTGCTTTTTTTTAATGGTCTGCCTGGTTTATTTTTATTTTGAACATCACATTAAGTGTTCTACTCTAAAAGCCAGCCTAGATGTGTGTGTGTGTGTGTGTGTGTGTGTGTGTGTGTGTTGGATGTTACTATCCACTCTTTTCTAAATTGATTTTTATCACAGTTATATGCCACTTATATAAGTGGCTCACATTCAAACGCTTTTACAAAATAACTGAATATAATATTAAAAAAAATTCAATTATGAAAGTGCAGAATATACAACCAGTTAGAAATGG